CAGCACCAACGACCACTGCCATTCAAAAACAGAACAAAACAAAAAAAATGTAATCAATGTGGACTACGACTATTTGTGGGCGAAAAAACGTTAGGAACTAAACGAGGCAAATGATAACAAATGAATAAGCACCGATTGGATAAGAATCACTGTGAGGTGTTAGAAGAAATTTTATCAATAACTTGACAAAAGCTATCAATAATCATGAAAAAAAGAAGATGGAAATTCTTCACATCACAACAGGCATCAAGAGACTTTTCAAGACGAATGCACAGGTCAAAAAAAAGATGCTTCAAGAAGAATAAAAACTGGATAGACAATACTTCCCAAGGTATAAAACCGATAACCCTCCAGAATGGTTTGCTACTTCATCGTGGCTGAGAGACGTTCCAGGGTGTCGGAGTGTGAAAGCGGGGGGTCAACCTCGCAGCAGGGCCACTCAAGCTGAGAAGGAGGCCGACGTTTCCATCGGCAAAGTCCAGCTAGGACTAAACCGTACCAGGAATGACCGCCATCATGGGTAGCTACTAGTCGCGATGTGGCCCCCTCTGATAGCCAAGGGCCGGCAACTGTCCGTAATCGGTGACGATCCGAGAGAGCCCGCCAGGCTCCTCGGGAGTCCACGAAACTAAACCGTTTAACCAGCAGTTACCCTGTGCTGGGGCTCGCACTATCAGTGAAGACGGATCACCAAAGTGTCCATATATCTATATATACTTATATATATACATATATATATACATGTATATGCATATATGCACACATGGACGGATACATACACATTGTATATATAAGGAAAACAAGGATAAAAAGATAAAGCTCCCGGCGTTGATCAATTCCTGAGGGATGCGCCATGCACTCGACTCCAATTTTTGACTTCGTTTGAGGTGATTGATTGCATATCTGGTCTTCACAACGACTCGCGGTGGCCTTCCGCTGAACCGAGTCAGTGCTGCTTATCCTTTTAGACAAGTCTGAGACCTGTCTCGTACCAATTTACCGACCTCGGAGGGATGGATGGCTTGGTGAGCCATGAGCGCGAGATCGAACCATTGACCTTGTGTGCGACGCAGAGCACCCTCTAACCCCTGCGCCACATGCGCTCTATATATATATATATATATATATATATATATATATATATATATACTACTGATATATAAAGAAATAAATTAAGGATTTCCTAAATCACAATGAGAATTAAACTTGCGAACACATGTGGATGGGTTGAACTGTAACGTTCTTATAGAGGAAAAAAAGATAAATAGCGTTCCGAAACATCGAACGCCAACAACACTTTCTGTAAACCAAAAATCGATGGCGTCAATCGATAAGGACGCAGTTCATCTAACCGTACAATGTGTTGTGACACAGTGTGAGTCATCGTAGATTATTCCAACACGTTAAGTCAATAATTCCTATGGTTCCTGACAATCATACTGGATTATACAACTGTAAAATGATTTTAATAACAAACAATGACGCTGGCTCCGTTCGTTTCGGTCCCTTTGTCGAAAATTCCTTCTTCCCTTCTCCATTTAAATTCTACTTTTTTTCTAAGTTTTTATACCTATTATTTCCCCTAGGCAGAAAAAAACCCGGCATAAAATGGATCTAACCACTGAAATATTTGAATTGAAAGAAAAAGACCACCCATCAACAAAGGGAGATCGGCACAATCACTAGACGAACCGGAAGAATAGACGTCACTGAACACAACCGACGACGCCGAGACGACAGGGAGCGAGTAACTGTGTCGTAAACAGTTTCGCAACAACGGCTATGTACGCATTTGCGTCCAACATTCTAAATCACACGCCTGATTCTCTCTCTCAAAAAAAAAATTAAAGTAAAATCTAAAAAACTGGAGCAGACATTGAAGACTATAGGGCGCTCCTTGACTAGGAGGAAACAGGCTGCTCATATAAAGCACTCTCATAGACTCCAAACAGTTCTAGACAATAGTCCTTATGAAGAGGGCGCCGTGACCGAGTAGTTGCGAGATTCGTCGCGGCGTGCTTAGGACCGAACCCCACCCCCTCAACACTCTCCAAGGCAGTCTACGCAATAAAGTGCCGAAGTCAAAAGTCCTTGAGAGGTCTACTCCTCACTTCTTTCAATTATCAAGCTAACACACAGGGTCTTCTAAAACCTTCACGCCCGGTTCCCACCTCTTTTTCAAGGCCTCAATTCGAGGTGTCCATACCCCCTAACCTTTGCGATTTGTCTCCACGCAGTCGCGTCGATAAGTCGAATTCGGTGCGGCAGGGTGGCGCTCGAATGAAAAACCTCACTTGACGAAGCCTTTTTCGATAGGGACGGTTGTTGATTGGCTAATTGTCCCCCACTGATGATCACCGAACGAAAGAGGTTCATAATTCGAGCGATGATCCGCCATTCACAAGTGGAGAGTTGTGATCCCAACGCCTTTTAAAGTCTAAGCCTAAGCGTGCTCGTAATCTCCTATTTGAAAAAACCCTCTGAAATTACTTGAAAAATCGATGGAACCAGAACTCTCCACAAGCGCCCAAGGTCGCTACCATCGCGACAATCGACTTGAATCGGACTGAGATCTAAGGAATGCGGTGACGTCGAGACGTTAGTCGGAGGATAAAAATAACTTATTAACTTTGTATCACTGATGTAGAGTGATGTGCAAAACTTTCGTGTCAGGTGGGACTAGAACCCGCAACTTAATCTTTCCGGGAATAAATAAAACGAATTACGTTTGATCTTCAATACCCAATATCTGTCAGCGTGACTGGGTTCAGTGTAGAGACCGAATACCCGGGCCAGGCCGTTGACGGCTGGCGGCTGACAAATAGATGCGCTGTAACGTAGAAAGAGCGATGTGCAAAATGGGCGTCAGTAGTGTAACGGATAGAGCATGCATTCCCGGAAAGAGTGAGGTGCGGGTTCTAGTCCTGCCTGACACGAAAGTTTGCACATCACACTACGTCGATGGGTATCTATTTGAAACATTATAACACCGCTAGAAGCGGTTAAATAAAAAGAATTAGTTTTGAACTTCGTATCAGTTGAATTATCCAAGAAAAAAGGTTGGGTTCGAATGATTTCGAAAATAAAGGAAGTTGCCAAAGAAAAATTGCTTTTCTAAATTATTATAGTACGCGCTGGGCTAGCCATTAACGATACCAACCACTGCAAGATCGAGCTCTATAAGTTGCCCTATACCAGACCACATGCATGGCTCAAAAAACGATTATCAGGCATATTGAAAGTGAGAGCGTGGGTCTTGAGAAAACACTCAAAACGAAAGGTATGACACTTCAAGACGGTTTGTTCGGTGAAAAGACTAATGATATCACTAGACATCATCATCCAGCAACCGTCCCGTATATAAGGGTATCGCGGAGTGAGAGGTTCTTCGTTCGAGTGATGTCCACTCGAGAAGATTCGACTCAAACGACGATGACCAAGACCAGCTTGAGGACGAGAACGACTGTGGACAATCAGTTGGAATCATTGGCTTTGAAGAGGACGAAAAAGTCAAAACGCTAGCCAGATAAGACCCAAGACCGACTTTCTCTTAAACTTGGCATTTTTCACTAATTACTCGTCATTTTTGACCAGGCTTGAAAAGATGTCTCTATGATATCATTTATTCAAACAGCTGACGTCTCGGCGCGATTTCATCTTCCTCAGAGCCTGGAAAGACCAGGTTGTCCAAAACACGGTCACTCAAACACCACCACTTCACTCTATATTCACATTTTAATGAAATGGTGGAGGTGTCGTGGACAAGCTGATCTTTCTAGGCTCTAAATAAAGCGAAATCGCCGAGATGTCAGTTGTCTGAATAAATAATATCAATCGAAAATCACCTTATTTGACCGACAATTGCGGTGTTATGACGTTTGAATAAATCCCAACGATGTAAAGTGGTGTGCAGAAACGTTTGCGTCAGCCGGGATTTGAACCCAGACCTTACTCTTTCCGGTAGCATGTGCTTGGATTTTTAATAATATCATGAAAACCTGGTGCCAAGCTCAGCTCAAAATGACAAGTAATTAGCTAAACAGATTTATTTTTATCAACTTCGTGATGATGGCTTAATCATCAAAGGATCTCGCTGCAATATGACTCAAAAGATAAAGATTAGGAGTAAAAATCCCTGAAATTCGGGTCATTGCTGAGTACATTCTCCATTCGTGGACGACCAGCAGATGCTAACCAAAGAGACAAAGGAGCTTATTTCTCGTTGCTTCACTCGAAATCACACTACCACAAGCACGAGAGACTTGCCCAAGACATTTTGGTAGACACGCAGCAAAGCGCCCGATTGATGTTTGTCATCGATTCCGAGGGAAAACAAAGCGACAACGAGGATTGCGCGAAACGTCATCGCCCGTTCTCATCACTCGACGAAAACGAACGCAAAGTTATTAATATCGAAAGCTGGGGCCAGAGCATGTCCTAGCGGCTGGCAAAAAACGATCCGCGGCTCCAATTTCATTCCAGAAAGAAGAATCACTCGAATCTGAATAATTTCTAGGGAGAAATTGATCTTCAGAGATGAGCAGAGATGACGAAAGATTCTTGCGGGAAAGCCAAGCCAATATCTCTTTATGTCATCACGAATGGCAGGCTCAGGGCAAACGAAAATGCTTTGTAACGAACGTCGGATACGTTGTTATAGCGTTCAGACTGGCACAACTTTTGTAGAATGCCAATAAGAACAAAAAAAAAAGAACCGACCAGCTCTATGGCCAGCCCCCTAAGAGGGTAGTGACGGCGTATTCAGATCTCCGCAGTGTGGCGCCGTATGAAAAACTCAAAAGAATCGAACGCCGACCCATAGATGTAACAAGGCGAGTCTACTGGGACTCGACGACAAGCGTTACAAAGTACTACAGAAAGGGGAAGGGAAGAAAAATTGGTAGGAATATAATCGAACAGAAAGCTTTTTATTCAACCGCTTTCAGCGGTGATTGGTGTTATAAACATACTCAGTGATGCTGAGTGATATGCAAAATTTCTGCGTCAGCCGGGACTGGAACCCGCACTTCACCCTAACCAGGGGCGCGTGTTCTAACCGGTTCCACTACCGACGCCTGCTTTACCACCCCTCTTTCTAGGCTGTAACGCATCTATCTGCCAGCAACCAACCGTCAACGGTTTGGCCTAAGTAGTCGGTATAGATATTGAACTCTGTCACGCTATCACATGTTGGACAAATGTGTTATCAGACTGGTTAAGCACGCGACCCTGGAAATGCGGGTTCGAGTCCCGCCTGCTGTCAAAACTAACAGAAGTGAATGGACAAATGCTCTCGGCGTTGATCAATCCCTAAGGGATGCTTAATGCAATTGCCTTCAATTTTTAATTTCGTCTGAGGTGACTGAATGCATATCAGGCCTTTACGATGACTCGCGGTGGCCTCCCGCTGTAGCGAGTCAGTGCTGCTTAACCTCCTAGACAAATCTGTGACCAATCTGCTATCAATTTAACGACCCCGGAGGGATGGATGGCTTGGTGAGCCATGAGCGCGAGGTCGAACTATCGACCTTGTGTTCGACGCACAGCACCCTACTGCGCCACGTGCGCTCTAATAGAAGTATTACAAGGGATATAGGTTGCATATCTAGAAAAAGGTGCCGGCTTGTTTGCGTTCAAAGCTGAAATGTGCATACCAGACCAAACCCGTTAAGGCTGCCCGGATGTTGACAGCCGCGACATCTCATATCGAAGAAACAGTGCTCGCAAAGCGGTGGACTCGGTGATATAGTGGTAGCACGCCTCCCAGGGCGAGAGTGAACCGCGGGTTCAAGTCCTGCCTGGGGTCTAGTTCTGTGTACCACTCAATCTTCCTAGAGGGATATTCCAATTAGAAGAAATGCTATAAATCTCTCTAAAACTTCCATAGAGTTCACAGCAACCACGGCAATTTTTCGTTGCTTACTTGGATAGCTAAGAAATTGTCCTTTCCAAAGTCCAGATGAATCCCATCAAAGACGAATATCCATCTAAAGCAAGCCCAAGCAATGCCAGTCTTTTTGTAGTATCCATAAGACCACATAAGAACAAAATGCAATAAAAAAAGGATTGACGAGGATCATACAACATATTTAACTGCCTCCCCCTTCGACAATATTCAGCATGCTCCTCGACAGAAAACAAACATCATAGATAAGTGTGACAGCGAACAGAAACTCAGTTAGCACAACGGTTAGCGAGCGTCATCCGAGAGGGTGAGACGCTAGTTCGACTCCTGACAAGGTTCATAACTTTATACACATTCAATAATCTGTAATATAAAGTTATAACATCATGCCACTCCTATACAAGGCAAAGTGAAAAATTTCGGTCATGAATTCCTGGAATTACCGTGTTAGGAGCTAAGCGACTTCAAGAGGGAAGAAACACCTCAAACAAGTAATACGGGAACACCAAGATGTCCTACGGCATGGAAGTGACCTCGTAAGAGGTTCTGCAGATCCTTAATCAATAAAATAACAACGCAAAATAAAAAATAAACCTTCGCAAGAGAAGGGGCGGGGAGAGGGAATGTCTCGTGATCTCCGGCTCACAATTCGAAGAGGGAGAGGGGCACAAAACCCATCGATGTGTACTCTGTGGGGAGTGGTTCCCGAGTGAAGTGCTCAGGGAGAGCGATGAGAATGGGAGAAGCTGTCTTGCGATCGTAAATCTGGGCTTCACGGATTTTCCCTAGTGGGTTCCGGGAGGGGTGGGGGGTTAGCCTAAGCCTCAGGGGTTAACTGTCAGATGGCAGTCAACATGGGCTAAGCGGGCTCTGAACAGGGCGAAATCGGCTTAAACGTCAGCGCTCGTCAATAAACACTACGAGAACAATCGAGCCGTCGTTTCGTCGATAAAACGAGAAATCCTAAAACCACACCCGAAATCGGGGGTGTCCTCTGGAGGATGAGAAGATGGCGAAAGGGGAGGACACGGGCCGGACGAGGAGACTCGAACGAACGAATGCCGGACGGATCGCCCCGCTCAGCACCGAAAAGCGGAGAGCGCACTGCGTCTCCTCACGCCACGTGATCTCTCGCCGCACTGCGACCACTGTGCACGACCGCGTGCAGCCGCCTCTCACACCGTACTCAGTCCACTTGCGAATCTGATCGCATTCAAAATCAATCTCCCAACATCGGACTGTCTCCCGATCTCGGCGTTCTTCAGTAGATCACGAGATTTTCTTCGCATGTCGGACGCGAGGCTGTCATCAGACGTTTATTCGGCCAGGTGACGGACGTTTCGGGGGTTTCTTGAGAGCCTGTGGAGGAGATCAGATAGCCCAAAACTCCGTCAATCAAGCACCTCCATTTAATGAATAGATGGCTCTTTCTGATTAGGAGGGAGCAAACAAAAAACCGATCTCATTTGCTGAAGAGGAACTTTTTTCGGGAATGTCAGTAACCATTCGATAGCTGAGATTTGACGCTACAGACCCACGTCGCCGGTTTTTCGGAACACCCCTTTATAACGCTGTAGTATTCAAAATAAAATCATGATTTATACTACCATGTGTTCTTTTTCTCCTATCTCGCTTACATTTCGCTGGACAAAACTCCTTCGTCAGAGTGCTGCTGCTGCTCAAACCATAGCACAAGCTTCAAAGAACTCAAAATGTGTTTGCTTTTTGAAAAGTTCTTCTGATTTTTGATCTCCTCTGGTCTTTTGATGTGCTTTAAAACCTGGCCGAACAGAGTTTTTCCTCACTATTTGTAATCTATAGCGTAATGTTTTCTGATTCTAGCAATGTGATTGGTTCCAGGAACTACGGTTTATCAGGGAAAATAAGATCGAGCTTTACATTTTTGGCAAGGTAATTTACCGGCTATTCGACAAGTCGAGGGCCATGGTAAGGGCGGAGCGAAGCGGGGCCATCGATATATTGTTATTAAGTAGGGAGATTTTTCCTTCGCCTCGAAAGAAACTCCGAATAAAACAATTCAATAAGATACTACGAAAATTTCTCTACACATTGATATGCTTTTCGTCTTCCAGCGAATCATACGCGTAATAAAAATGAAGGCAAAGGCAAGTGTGGAACATAATTTTCAATCTGAATGCTACAGCGTTACAAAGGGGTGTTGGAAAAATTGGCGACGTGGAGCTGTAGTCTCAAGTCTCAGCTTTCGAGCGGTTATTAACTCTCCTATGAAAATTCCCTCATCAACGAGTGAGGTCGGTTTTTCAAATGTTCCCTCCTAATCACCAAAAGATAATATAAACAAAGCGGTTGCCAAGTGGTTGTGATGCTTGTCACGAGGCACGCGTGAAGCCGTGCTCCACCCCACCCCCAAACTCTCTTCGGAAGTCAACAACAATGCCCCATGGAACGACACAATCAGGCTATCCTCGAAATCACAAGGATACTCGATCAACGAGTATTCTACAACGTTCAAGAAGAAGACAATTAGAGGACTGAACGCTAGGAGTACTGGGATCCGCAGAGTGAAAAGATCACTGTGAAGACGGATGTAAAATAACGAAAAAAAATATAAGCAAATCTATACTTTAACTTCATTAGGCACAAAACAACCTCTCCATATACTCATCGCTTTCTATGAGTCTTCCACTGAGTTGACCAAAAAAAAAATTTCATTAACAATTCCGTGCTACAGGTTAAACCCTACGAAGAAAGTCTGATTCGATTGCTCATGCTGAGGTCAAGGAAAAGTCGGTCCATGATGTATTATGACGCTTCGTGCAAGGTTTTCAGACTGTATCATATCCTACTTTAGATTGTTTCTTTACTGCTAGGAATATCTGATGACGAAAAGTTCGCTGGCCTGATCATGGAATTATCTCACTGTTCGGTTTTATTTTTGTGCACTAGGTAATTCACAAAATAAACGTGTGAAGTCGCCGTTTCTTGACGAAATCTGAGCAGATTTACGAGCAAGAAAAAAAATGAAGTGAATATTTGATGAAACTTTGCATCGAAGGTTTAAATTTCATTTACTATCTTTTTTATGGCAGATTACCATGTTTGATACGCAATCCCGTCCAGCAATCGTTGATAGCACCCATGAAAATTGAAACAAGTCAAATCGAAGCTTGTCCAGTGCCTCAGTATACGTTCAATCAACACTTCCCTCCCAATGATCACTCCTTTGTGAATGAAACACGAGATAACTGAAACAACTGAAAATAAACCCATTTTGACTTGATCAATTCAGAACGTGGGAAACCCTTAATGCGTTAGGTGCATCATAAAGTGTTGATCTAATAAGGCATGTGACAAACTAGGAGAACGTAAGGAAATCATTTCGATAAAACAGAGAAATTTCAAAAGAGAATCAAGTGCTTTGTAACAGCTTCCACTTTCTAACTGTGTTAGACATCAAATCATCTTCAGTCAATATTTCTGATATTATTGATGTCGGCGAATACAATGAAATGTTCAGCACATTCATGGCAACGCGCATTGGTTAGAATACACACTCGTGAGACACATCAAACCGTGCTCATTGATGAAAAGTATGGTCTACAACCGTATCATAAGCCACGAAACGTTGGCGTAATCTCGCAAAATATTGAACATTAAAATGACTGATACTGTAATTTTTTTATGCAGATTGGCAACTAATGGAAAAATCCTGTGGAAATATGTAGCGAGCCCTTCAGTATACAGATTCCACAAGGAAGAACCTATGTATCTGCACACTCCATTAGATGGCGCCTCATTGTTGCTTTACTTTCTGAAATGTTCAGATTTTCTCACAAGTTAACTAAATATCCGATAATTGATTTTAAAAGCAGTAATTTGATGTAGTTGAGCCGGAATCACTAACTATTTGCTTGATGAGTTTGAAACATGCTTCAAAGTACGATAGTTCTTTAATCGCAGCTAACATGCTGAAGGAAATTTGTCTAACTCACATGACGATCGGAAAACCTCAGTCTAGTTATGTGAAATGCTGCCAGTTTCCATGTGCTTAAAGAAAAAAAAAACTGGTCAGTCGCCAACACTCTTCAAATAGAAAGATAAATAAAGCACTCGGCGTTGCTCAGTCTCTGAAGGATGTTCCATATATTCGCTTCAACAAGCACCATTAGAGGTTATTAAATGCACCTG